TTTTCCATCCTTTGACTTTCAATCTGTGAGTATCCTTCTGTGTTGGATGGGTTTCCTGTAAACAGCATATGGTTGGATTTTGTTTCTTGATCCATTCTGCTAGTCTGTTTCTTTTGATTGGTGCATTGAGATCATTTACATTAATGGTTATAACTGTTATATGCTGGTTTATTGTTGACATGTTATCTCTCTGCTGTTGCATCTTTATCTTTGTGTTCTGTTTAATTATCTGCTTTGCTTAGTGGTTTTTTCCTTTGTGTATCTAAACTGTCTCTCAATATTTTTTGCAGGGTTGGTTTGGTGTTCATGAAGTTCTTCAGCTGTTCTTTGTCATGGAAGTATCGTATTTCACCATCGATTTTGAATGATAGTTTTTCAGGGTACATCAGTCTAGGTTGGAAGTCATTTTGCTTTAGGATCTGGAATACTTCACTCCATGCTCTTCTTGACTTTATTGTTTGTGCTGAGAAGTCTGCTGTGATTCTGACAGGTTTTCCTTTATAAGTGATCTGTCTTTTCTCTCTGACAGCTCTTATAATCTATTCTTGTGTTGGATTTCTGGGATGGTGATTATTATATGTCTGGGTGTAGTTTTATTTTGGTTATGACTATTTGGAGTTCAATAGGCTTCACTGAACCTGATGTCGGTTTCTGATCTCATGCTTGGGAAATTTTCAGCTATTCTCTAAATATTCTCTTGACATCCTTTATGTTGTCCCCTTCTTTTTCATTAATCCCTATCAATCTTATGTTGCTTTTCTTTGCATCATCTTGCAGTTGTTGAATTGTTATTTCCTGATTCCTTGTTATTTTTAAAAGATCTTTCCTTTCCTGTTCACTAGCTGCAATCCTGTCTTCAAGGTCTGAAATTCTATCTTCACTTTCATTGAGATGGTTTTTACAGCTTTCAGTGGAGTTTTTTATTTCCTGTATATCTCTGTGCATCTGCATTATGTATTCTGTTTGTTTCTTATATTGCTCATCTAGGGATTCCATCTTTTTGTTTATTTTCTCCAATTTTGTAACTGTGTTTTCTTTAGATATATTCAGAATCTCTTTCATTTCTTTTATCATTTCTTCTTTTACCTGGGAGATTATTTCGAGTTTGAATTCCTTTAAAGCTTCCTGGAGTTGCTTGTTTATTTCAGTAGCTATTACGTCCGATATTTGAGGTGTATGGCATACATTTTCTTCTATATACATCGCTCCTAGGGTTTCTTGAGATGGGCTGGAGGTTTGAGGTTGTAATTTGGTCTTTCGTTTTGTCATTTTCCTATATTTCTGTGTTTCAAGTGTTATTTGAAAGCTTCCTCAGGGTCTGTTGGAAATCCACTTCTATGTTCACAGCTCCTGGGACTCTGGCACCCAGTTCCCCAGGCCGCTGGGCCTCTGGAACAAGTGGCCCTCTTCTGCCTGTTTAGAACTCTGTAGTTCCAGATAAGCTGTGCTCCAAGGACACTGTGCGCCAGCCTGCTTGCTCGAAATTCCACAGTTCTCTGAGCGAAGCTGGAATGGGGAGGCGGAGGTAGGCGCCTGGGGCCCACTTAGCAACTTCACTGCACCCAGAAGGCTCAAGCGAGGGTCCCCCGAACAGTCTGAGCTTGGGGCAGAGTGCACTGGGCACTTATTGCAGGCCTCAGGGCCTCTGGAACTGGTGATGCTCGCCTGCTTGCTGAGAATTCCACAGTCCTCTAGACACATGGGGAGGCGGATGCAGGCGCCCCAGACCAGCCCAGCCTTTACTCTGCACCCAGATGGTGCAAGAGTCCCAAATAGGCTGAGCTCCAGGGATAGTGTGCGCCCGCCTGCTTGCTGGAAACTCCACAGTTCTCCGAGAGTAGCCGGAATGGAGAGGCAGATGTCTGCGCCTCAGACCCACTTAGCCACTTCACTGCACCGGGAAACCTGGAGGGTCCCGAGCAGTCTGGGCTTGGGGCAGAGTGCTCTGGGCACTTACCGCAGGCCGAGGGCCTCTGGAACTCTACCCTAGGTTTTCTGACTTCTATTCTAGTGATGGCTTGAAGGAAAACCACCAGCGGAATGTTTTTTGGGGTATTGTCCTGTAGGGAAACCTAGAGGCCCCTTAGTGTTTCAAAAAATATGGTGTTCCTGGTGCTGTTATGCTACCTGGTGGGATGGAGCCATTAGGGGAAAAGTTTGGGGGAGGATTTCAAGAAGTGGGAGAGGTGGCTGTCCAAACCACCATTCAGGAAGAGCTGCAGGGGCCGTCGAGTGGATACGACCTCCCCTCCAGACTTACGTGGCTGCAGCAGCGTTGGTGCATCCTCACATAGTTTTCTGTCCCTCCCCACCCACTGCTTTCTGATCAGATGTGTGTACCTGACCTATGCTAAGCCAATCAAAGTTTTCCTAGAATTATTTCAACTGGAAATTGGTGGGGGAAAAGGAGCTTTCTAGTGGCTTAAGTTGAGGAATGTGAGACTGAGGGCTTGTTGGTCTCTGTGGTTCTGTTTGGTGGTGGATTTAAGTCTTCCTTGAGAACCAGGCTTCTGTGAACAAAGGAAGGGAGAAACAGAGACAGAGACAAGCACACAGAGACAGACAGACACACACACACGCACACACACACACACACACACACACACACAGACAGAGAGACAGAGTCCTGATGTTCTTCATTTATGGACTCTGAATCTTATGTTTTTTTCAAGCCAATTCCCATTTTTCTGCCGCTTCAGAGAGGCCAGATGAGGGGCTTTCATATTGCTCTACCTCATTGCCCGCTGGGTTTGCTCTTGGTGAGCTGGATGTTAGGGATTGCATCTTGTTTAAGCATCTTTTTGTTTTCTTTTCTCTTTTAGGTTAATTCCTGGGGTAATCCTTATAAATAGCCAATGATGGGTTGCTTTATTGCTAGTATTTAGAACCCCTGAGTAATAACTACTTCTCCAAAGTATCTTCCATGCATAGCTGGATTTTGGGGTTTGAGTCCGTTGGAAGGTCCTACTTTTTCAATTTGTTGGAGATGAGAAGTTGCTGCTTGTTTGGCCCAGTCCGGGGCTCTTTGGTACTTTGGTACTTTGGTCTGTGACACTTAGTTAATCTCAGTCATGGAATACTAGGAGGAACAATTGTTTCAAATAATTATGTCATTTTTGGCTTTAGTAGTACCATTAGCATCAAACACAGCCTAGAAAATGACAACTCAGCTAATCATTAATTTGCCACTTTTAACCATACAAACTAGATTTTTTGGTTATATAACAAATTCTAAAACCATAATTTTATATACCATATACAAATCCTTAATATGTCAATTCTGCCCTTAGCGGTTAATATTTAAAATGGGTTAAGGAGAAAATAGAGACATGGAAGAAGAGGAAGAGAACAGAAGTAAGGTTGGAGAACAAAAGGGATCACATCCACTTTGGGAAACTGGTGCAGAATACTGGAGGGAAAGAGAAGAAAGAGATAAAAGGAACAGAACAAAACCACCACCACAAAGAGGCTGGAAATCTTGTTCATAGTTATGAAACAAGATCAAACAATGAAGGAGAAAAAACCAAAAAGCAAAAAAACAAAAACAAAACCACCACATAACAAAAAATAAACAATGAGAAAGGAAGAAAAAAAGAAGAGAGTTCACTTCCAGGTGTGTCTGTGCCATCACTGGCAGATAATGTGTAGAGACAGAGTCCCAATCCCTGGCGATCTATCCCAGCAGCCAGCAGTAGCTCTTTGGTGGGTCAGGAGATAAGCCTGCACTTTCTGCCTGAGAGCAGACTCATTTGACCTGCAGCTGTCTGTGCACCTTCCATGCACCTGAGCCCCGCCATGAGCCGCTAGATAGAGCTGGTGGCAGCTCTGAGTTCTGAGCTTAGCTGGCCCCCATGCTAGATGGCTCCTGACAAGTCGCTCTCTTGTGAGGAGGACTGAGTCTCAGTACTCACCAGCAGCCAGTGCAGTCCTTCACATCCTCTGCTTCCCTCCACTGCTGCATCTCTCCCTGAGGCCTCCAGGGTCACCAACTGTCATCACGTGCCACAGGTTTGCATCACTTCTGTCACACAGCGAGTCCCATTTCAGGTAGATGGGTGCCTCCTTCTTTGTTGGAGTTTGTCTCTTCATTCTCTCTGTGGGCTTCATTTCACACTTCAACTTCTTCCTGGGTCCAGGGGACCCACTTTCCTCCTGCTTGTCTTCCTCACATTTCTATATTCTGGGTCTGGAAAGCAATTCTCAAGCTCTTTCTCTGCTGCTTACCACTTTGCCATCTCAGTGCTCCCTTATCATTTTGCAGAAGGTAACTCAAATTGGATTTTATTGCTTTGTAATTAGGAAGCCTGACTAGTGCAGCAGTCTAGAGATATTATACTCCTGCCCACTCCACAACTCCACTCTCTACCTGTGCATGGGCAAGTGTATGTACCTTCTTCTTTTTTTAACCCACCCAAAATAAGCTGTCCTTGAAACATTTCAATTTGCTCCTGTAAACAAGAACTGTTATTTAAATATCCACATTATAATGACCAAAATCAGAAATCAGCATCGATAGAATTATGGTATCCAGTTTGTTTAAATTTCTCAATAATATAGCAATCTAGTATGCAGGAATTACCTAGTCTAAAACAATGGTCTCAGCCTTTGCTATACAATAAGATCATCTGGGGTGAAGATATTTTAAAAAATTTAAATAACTAGACCTACTCTAGAAGTTGGATTTATGGATCGGTTGTATATGTTTGTGCCACTGAGTGTTTTTAAAAATATCCTAGCTTACTGTGCTATAAAGTGATTTCTGAAATTATTGATTTTAACCAGTAATGCACATTTTCTTCTATTTCTTTCTTATTGATCAATGATTAATTTTGAATGGATATATTAGATTGAGTAGTGTTCTCCCCAAAAGTTTGTGCCCATCAGAAATCTCAGAATATGGCTCTATTTGGAAATAGAGCTTTTACAAATATCATCAAGTTGAGATAAGGTCAACTTGGATTAAGGTGATGTCTAAAGTCAATGACTGGTATCCTTCTCAGGACGGGAAGACTGAAGACAGGACGTCAGGGAAGAAGGTGACAGTGGAGTGACACTGCTACAAGCCAAGGAATGCCAAAGCCTCCTGGGAGCTACAGGAACCTAGGAAGAGGCAAGCAAAGATTCTTTTTCAGAAATAAGATACTGCTGACACTTTGATTTTACACTTTAATCCAGATTTTTGAAATAATTTGCTTCTGATAATCAGTTTTTGCTGTTTACTCTGCCAGCGTTGTGTCATTTATATGGCAGAAAATGAGTACAGGGTTATAACATCCAGTCAAGCCAATGTGACCTGAGGGAAATTTTCCTGGGTCATTTATTCGGCAGCTTTTCCTTGGAGTAAATGAGTGATTCACAGATGGTAGAACATAGCGCTGTCTGCAAAGCCTGAGTTCTTCCTTCTCTGGGAACCTAGCAGGATTAACCTGGCTCTGGGAAGTAGATGAAGCACGTGAATATTTCCCAAGGTGTTGCGGGATGGTCCAGATTATGCTTGTCACTCCTGGGTTTATCACTCAGAGGGAGGCAGTTGATCCACTCTGTTGTACTCTCATGCAGTGACCAGTGATGCTTCAGATGGGGGTTCCTTGGATTGACAGGACCCGGGAGAGAAGAAGTGGCTTGGTGCGCATCCCTAAAATCCATTGGTCACAAGGGTTATGTCACAGTTCCATCTCTCCTTTGTCATGGGGCAAAGGTGCAGAGTTTTAGGGTCTTGAGCTCTAGTTGGTCTTTGTTGCTGAAAGAACTTTTCAGGCTGAGTGTTCTCTAATAGAAGTTAGGAAGTAGTTACCTTTTCCAACCTTAAAAGTTTCAACTATTCCCTTCCCTCCCTGACTACAAACCAATCTTGTCTTTTCTGAGCCCATCTCTTGCTTACATTGTCAAGCACTGCCAATGGCAGCCACCGTGCAGTGCTCACCTAGTGTTTTCATATCTTCTCCTGGGCCCAGGAGCTCATTCACTGTCACCAGTAGGTGACAGTTTTGTCAGATGTCTTCCAATTGATTGCATCAACCCTTGCTATCCGGCTTTGGTCAACAGTATCTTCCCTGTCTCTTCCAGTCCCTAGGCCAGTGCATCTATTTTGATTTTTCTTTATATCAGCAACAATAGTCTTCTGGTATCTTCATCGTAAGTGACTTAACAATCCTCCAGTGATTCTTAGTGACTCATACCACCAACAGAGCACTTTTTTTCCTCACAGAAGCTGCATGCACTGAGAAGGGACTTAGTCACCCCGTCATTCTTGCCACTGTCTGACGCAGTTCTGGAAGTCCTCTTTCACAGCTATCTCTAGTTGCACTGTTGTGGCTGTCTCTATGTCCTGAACTGATTAAAAAGGTTTACTTTCCTGGTTGTTTTGACTTTGGGGAGGAGTCAGAAGTTGCACAGTGTCAGATCTAGTGACGAGCATGTACTATGTGTCCTTCCACATTATTAGGCCTGCCTCTCCATTGGATGGCACTCAGCAGCTGCAGCCGCTTTATTTTTGATCATGTGTCATGAAGACTTACCTTATGGAACAGGGCTTCTAGAGCTGCTTCCGAAAGTGGCAAGAACAATGGGAGGTGTGTTTGAAATGAGAGGGAATATTTTGAGTTGGCTTCATGACCCCCCCTTTTTTTGAGACCATTTCACTATGGAGTTCAGGCTGGCCTTAAACTCACTTTGTTGCCCAGGCTGGCCTCCAACTCACAAGGATCCTGCTGCCTCAGCTGTCCAAGTGCTGGGACTACAGGTGTGAGCTACCACACCCGGCTTGTAACGCACTCTAAAAACATCAAAAACTTACCGTGTATTTTTATCACCCCTTGTATAGGGTCATCTTTTAGAAATGCCTAACCAATACAGGGCCAGTGTAACTGAGTCCTTTTAAGATGGGGAAAAGAGGTTAAAGTTAAAAGAAGGTGGATGAGTGGAAGGTAGATGGTGGAGGCAGATTAGAGTGATTCCCTGTGGAGACAGAGAAAAGGCCATGAACGGAGGCTGCAGACAGCCTCTAGAAGCTAGAAAAGACATGGACACAGATTTTCCCCTGGAGTTTACGCGGGGTACTCAGCCCTGGAAGATCCGTTTTGAGCTGCTGATGTCCAGAACTGTGAGAATGTGTTTGTGCCATCTTAAGACAGTTTATGGTAATTCGTTACAGCAGGCAAAGGAAACTCATAGGGATGTACAGATGGTATCTCCTAACCTCATATCAGCAGGTCACACCCACAACGCTCATCTCACTAGCAAAGTCATCTTGGAGGGAAGGTCATTTGGAGGTGGCAAGGAATTCAGCTGAGGCACAGCACAGCTGGGGCCAAGCCACGTCCAGGTCACGCTGGACCTCGGGAGCCAGGCCTGGTGGCTCTGCATTGAGCATCCAGTAAGACACCCCTGTACTGCTACCTGGACAGCGAGCTCTGGAGCTGCAACAAAGAACTGCTCGGGCTCCTGGGGAGCACAGGTACTGGATAACGACCCGGGTCACCAGCGCGTCCCTGCCATTACCTCCTGGGCAAGGTGGAGTGTGTGCTGCGCCCAAAGGGCAGGCCCATCCTTACCTTGGAAGACAATGGGGTCCCAGGTGTGGGCACAACCCCAGGTCTCAGAACTGCAGGGAGTTATCATCTGCCACAGTTCCCTAGCACACAGAATCAGTCCGGGTGCAGGAGTGGGCGCTGCTATGGAAGGGGATCAGAGGGATCCGCCTTGGTTGTAAACCTCAGTTGCTCAAGACCCCGCCCCGCGGTGCTCACCACTGTGATGGGCAACAGGGATGGACTGGGCCCGGCAGGGTGTGTCTGTGTGTGTGGACTGGGGGGTGTAGGGCTGGGGCAGACTCCAGGGTCTCCTCCTAGCACAGGTGTGCAGAGGTGGCCCTGGGCAGCAGCAAGGGTACCTTGGCTGGATGCAGTGGGGCTTGGGTCCGTGATATCATTTGATGCAACGCAGCCCTGAAAAGTGTGCAGAGGAGTTGGTACAGTTCACATTTGTGGGCGGAGAAAATAGCTGGGTCACTGGCTGGTTAGTGCCTCATTGTGAGATCTGTGTTCTGCAGGTCAAGTGATCACATTTCAGACAATCTGAAAAATCCAGTTACAGATGCCTCAGGGTTACCTTATGCCAGGGTTTGCTTGCGGTTAATTTCGCTCTCAAAAATGAGGTGAGGTTACGGTAGCTACTGTTAATATTGGGTTGTCTTGTGGTGAAGTACTGTACTTACATTGTTCTGTTCTGATCTGCTTTGTTCTGTCCTCTTTTGTCTTAATCTCTTAAAAAAGACATATATACACACACACACACACACACACACACACACACACACACACACATATATGTATGTATATGTATATATATGACGTGAGAGCCCAAAGGAAAGAGTTTGGCTGAAGTAAAAGCTGAGTGATTCTTGGTAAAGCTTATGGGGTTCCTGCACTGTTACCCAGTAGGGAGATGGGGGCTTAGGGAAGAGGTGTGGGATGGCGGATGTGTCTGAGGTTCCCATACTTCTCAACGTCTCTCTCTGCAGATAGTTCTTTAAGGCCTGGTTCTCAAAGTGTGGTCCCTGGGGACCCAAGACCATTTAAAATTATTTTTATGAGACTCCTAAGGTGTTATTGGCTTTCTTTCACCTTCTTTCTCTCATTAAGGTATAGTGACAGTTTCTAGAGACTGTGTGAAATGTAGTATTTCAACAGATCTAATGGAGAAGCAGGTATGAGAGTCTACCCATCTTCTGTTAGGGAAGGTATTAAAGAGATCTGTAAAATACAGAACAATGCCAGTCTTCTTAATTTTGCTTTTTTTAAAGTAAAAAAGTTACTTTCATAAAATACTTGGTGGATTTATTATGCTTACTATCAAATGATTGGATAAATACTTTTGAAATTTTTTCTATTATAATTTTGGTTAGGATAAATAGGTATAACTCAGCTAAATAAAAGCTTTTGGGGGACCTTTTTTTTAAGAGTGCAAAAAGCCCTTTATGCATATATCTGCTCCTATAATCCTCAGTCTTCTAAGTTTATTCCTGGGCTATTGCCTCTTTGCCTTTTTAAACATAGATAACTGCTGTTCAAAATATGGAATAGAATTCTAAGGTCCCAACTATTGATTTAGGCCAAGCAGGACACTTCCATGTGGATTGTACTACCCCTGGGAATGGAGAGAAAGGCAAGTTTGGGCTGCAAAGCCACTGGACAGTGACTTCCTACGTGATCAACAGAAAGTGTTTTTTTCCCCCCTCACTGAACTTATGGCTGAGGGTGTAGCTCAGTAAGAGGGCTTGCCTGGCATGCATAAGGCCTGGAGTTCAATCTCCTGTACTACAAACCAGAAAGCAACACAGAAATGAGAGTAACATCCCTGCTGTGGGGTTGTTGTGAAGCTTAGGTGAGAACGAGTTGTGTTGGCCTTCAGAAATGCTGGTTACCATCTCATAAACACACACACACACACACAAGTCCCATTATCCTAATGAAGGATATTCTTTCCACTTTTTGCTATTCTTTTTACTTCTAGTTTTTCTTCTAGTTTACCTCACAATTACAGCATAAAAACAATAGCATGTGAATAATATGCATAGAAATAGCATATACAACATTTTAAATATTTTTTTCTAAATGATTAAAAGTTGTGCAATACATTTGAAAGTTCACCTTGTGCTAACAGATTTAATCTTATCTGGCTTAGATGACAGTGACCTTCTTTCTGAATGTTTTAACATTCAGCTAATATCAGATGCTCTATAGAAGACCAGAAATGAAACTTGCCTATTCAGTGAAGTAACCTTAGGCTCCTGTGACTGTCCCCACCCTTGCCCCCACCCTCGCCAGGCCTTTGAAGTTAGAATAGGTGTAGAGAGGTGGGGTTTGTGGCCGCCCATAGTGACTACTATGTGTATAGTGGGAAGTTTGTTCAAGGTAGTCATGCGTGGACATTACAGCCAGGACACAGTTTCCTTCTGAAAGAAAAGAGGTTGTGAAATTTCCTGTGCGTGACTACTCTTTGCAGAGCAGGAATTTGTTCCTAGGCTGATGGACATCATCTGCTAAAAGCTGTGTGGGCAGAGCCCAGGTCTCCCTGAGGGATGGTTTCTCCCTTTCTCCAAGGCTAGCTGGGCCGGTGGGACCCTCTCTCCTCCTTTGGTTGCAAACCCCAGACTCTGAGAAGGCCTGGGGTGCTGAGGGCCTCCCTGCCCTCTTACATACTCAGCGATGGTGTGCTGTTTGTTGTAACCACAGGGTTCTGAGTGACCTAAGGCTTGCTATGGCTTGGATGTGATTCACGCCACCA